GGATAAATTGTAGGGGAAATAATCATACAAAATGCCAGCTAATATAGAGGCCAAAGTCGGTTTTAATCACATCATTGTCAGATCATTTTAGAATGGATCAATTATGCAAAACCTTTGCTAAAACTGGTCTATCTAAAGTCACACTCCAGATGGACTGGCCTAACAATTTACTTGGATATCATTTTGTGTAGCACAAATTACATACTTTTTGTCAACAATTGAATCATTAACATATGACTTATGTGAGATGAGCAGACCGGTACAGCATAAGTTTTAATAAATACTTGCCTCGCCTATGATGAGTTCATCAGGTCTCAAACTCTGAAATTCTCTGTGCCTCAGGGTGAAATGATGCTTCTCTTCAGCATGTCTTACAACAGCCACAACAACTTCAGTTGGTTTGCATGTCCAAAGGGCATCAACCTAAAATGAAATGAACAATGGTATCATAATAACTTCATACAGCATTTGCCATTAATTCAATTTTAAATACTTTTAATGCACTATACATTTTGTACGTTTTCTATGAAAGATTGGCTCATGCTAAAACGTTTTTAATGCTTTCTTAACATTGTTTTATAGCTCGAAGAATTGCTTACTTTGTTACTCTGTTTAAAGCATACATTTTAATATAGCAAAACAATACCTCTGTTGCAGGCTTGGACCCTTTACTTGTGGGGTCATTGCTACTGTTCTTCACATCTGTGCTGCTCTGAATATCTTCGCCAGTGTTCAGAGTTAACTTTGCTCTTTTTGGAACTGGAAGAATGTCTGGAGTGGTGTAATATTTGGAGCTGGCAGTGCGAGGCTTTGCTCCATCTCTCTTTGCCCAACCTTCCTTAGATTGACTGATGTCTTTTGGTAGCAATGTTTTGAGGAGTAACTGCTCAGATAAGTGATGTGCCATGATGTGTTCTCTGTACCTCCCCTGTAGAGAGCCATACATTGTTCTGATGAATGCCGCTGGCCTCAGTCGTCTCTGCTTTTTTAGAATAGAATGTTTGACTATTCCAAACCATCTCTCCACATGGCAGTTTGTGTCCCTTGTTTTACTTTGGCCAAATGTGTCTTCCTCTGTGTCAGTTGCATATCTTTTCAAATTCCCCAACAGCAGCCCACTCCAAAGGGGAAAAATCCCTAGATAGTTGTCAAAAAGGACATCAACAATGCCAGGGCAAAAGTATGGATTTTCATCCTGTGGGGTTTCGACCTCCTCTTTTTCAAGCTCTCCCTGTACCTCCTCCATGACCTTCCTAAACTCATATGTGAAGGGAGATCTGCCAACAATTGTGTGGGCATTTCTTCTTTCTTCATCATCTTCCTCCTGAGTTAAGGGGCTGTCTCCTAACTTGTCCCCCTCTTCCATGTCGGGAATCCTGCATTCTTTTATGACGGCCTTCAGATGGATCAGGACAGTATTGGAATTGTGCTTTCCAATTAACACAGTGCACAGCGAGCGGAAAATTTTTAGTGCTGTGGTCATTGAAGTAGCATTTTGCAACCTGGCAAATGCAAATGTTGCAAATTCCTTCAAACCCTTGTCTGCAGTTCTTCTCCCAATTGACTGTGCTACAGCTTTCAGCACGTGTGCAGAGCAAATGTGTAGCACTGTCAACATTCGGATTTCCTTCCATGACTTCAGCGTTGAACAGATAGCAAAAGCCCTGTCCAAGTAACTGACAATGCTCTCCTTGTTAAAAGAAAGGAGAACACTTTGGAGCAGGGCCCAGCTGTAGTCTGTTTCTACCTGATGTACTTTTATTTTAGTGTACTGTGACAGTTTGCGGAGGAACTGCATTAGCCAGAATGTGATTGGTGGTATGGAGTGTTCATTTGTCAGCATTTCACAGACTGGGAGGGGAGGTACTTGCTGACCACCTCCAGGAAGAGTGAGGCAGTAATAAAGCACTCTTTTGGTCTGACCTGGAACTTTGGATGCAACATTACCTGTAGCATCTAGATATAGGGTCAGCGGTGTCTTCTTTCTCAGGTGTTGCACAACTATGTTTACTCCGGTTTCAGAATACATATGTACTCCAAATGGGTCAACTTGAAAATGTTGTATGTACCCAGGCATCCTGCGATAATTTGAGTCACATTCCTTAATGATCATTTGTGTGAGGTACATCTCCATGAAAACATCCTCATGGATTCTTTTACCTCTTCTTCCTTCTGAACGTATCACTTTGAGAACATTTTTGTTCAGACTGCGGGTTATGTTTCCTGAAATCAGTTCAGCAACAGGTGTTTTTTTAAGTTTACTGTAAAATACTTGACTCACTCCTTTATGCAGGGCTCTTGCAATTCTGCCTCTTCTTCTGTTTGCTGCTGGTCAGAATTTTTTCTCATTTGCTTTGTGTGCCATTTTCCCTCTTTGCAGCACAGATATTTTAACAAGGGTGTCTCCCACTGGCTCATTTTGGATTTTAAAGAAGAATTTGGCCCTGCAGGAAGGGAATGTACAAACTGCACAGATGTTTAAGTACGGACTTTTAATTTTCCTGCTGTTAGGAGTTTTTATGTGGTGACTCTTGAAGGCAAGTGTACAACAGGGATTTTTATCTCGAAAACTCTTGTACAACACGTCGGTCCACGGTTGCCTCAGTTTGTTTGAACCCGTCAATGGAACAATCTTTTGCCATTTCTTTCGATTTACTGTTATTCTGAACCTTTTAGATACTACTGGCAACTTCCGCCAATGTGTTTTGGGGCCTGTGTTTTTATTGTCATCTTGTGCTCCTCTTTGCAAATTCTGTTCTTCAGTTTCTGCCTCATTGATTTCTATGTCCTCATCTGATAACTGGTCATCTACTTCTCGTCCACTCTGAGAAGACATCCTTTCTTGTTTGTCTTCTCCTTCTTTATTTTCTGTGTCCTCATCTGATACCTTATTCTGAATCATGCTCAGAGGTAAGTCCTTTGTAAGACAGTCTTCAGAACATGCCCCTCCAACATCTCTCTCGTTTTGATTTTCCTCCATTACCTGAACTTCCTTCTGCTCTAATGATTTTTGGCGTTTATAGATCAAATCCCTCAATCCTTTTCGATTGTTGGTCCATACAACCCACAGCCAATGACGGTTTTTCTTATCATCATGACCAAAAAGGATTAGAGCGAGTTCCGACCAAATATATGAAGAATGTCCTGTATCTCTTTTGGTAATGTGAACACTCTTCATTGCTCGGACCAAAGCTTCCATTCCACCAGCCATTGCCCATAAGTCCTTCCTCTGGGCCCTGTTTCCTTTTTTAACTCTTCCCATTATTTTCAAATTGCATCTAACCTAGGAAAAGGAGGACAGGCAAAGCTAAATATTATATTATAACTTTTTAGAAGTACATATAAGAAAAAAACTGTGGCCAAATATGTAACACTAAGTTGGGTTTTTGTTTTGGTTTGCAAAACTAGTCATTTGTCATTTTAATATGTGTAATATTACATAACAGGAACAAATAACATTTGTTTGTAGTTTAAATTCAGTAACATTTCAGTTGATCAAATACTAACAAGATGAGCTCAAACGTAATTGTCTAAACAGGTATATAAGCATAGCTTAAATGACTGTTAGTAACTTCAATGAAAAGACAATAAAATAAAATAATACTTACATATAACCTTGGAACAGGAGTGGAGGCATGTTTTCAAAGAAGTCCCAGCGCATTAAGTACTGAAAGTGTTATATTTAGGCAAAATGTGTCCTCTGTGTCAGTAGCATACATTTTAAAAAATGTCTATCCTCATAGTTTGCTGTAAGCACTGAAAAACGGCATGATCCATGCATGCTTTATTGAAGGCAAGTGATTGGCTGGAGGCTTGATTGCTCTAAATACTTCATTTGATTGGTTTAAACTCTTCACCCTTTTGCCATGGACCAATTTTTTTTCTTTTAAGGTGTGGCAGCTGATCTTTAGAGGGGAAATAAAAAGTAAAGTATATTATCGTGTACATCATCTGCACCTGAAGATGTTTTCACGATTCGGCTTCATTTCTAGTCCTAAATCCTAGTCCTAATTTATTGCACTAAGAAGTACTTGCACTAATGTCCAACTCATGTTTCTTGTTGATTGTGTTTTTTATATGTATTACTTACTTTTATACCCTTGTTTAGCTAGAACTTTCTTAAGTTGTTTATATATATATGTTGTTTTTGTTCACGCTGTGGGACTGTAAGAAACGGCATTTCAATGTTTCTGTATAACACATGTGGAAAATTTGACACTAAAGTTGACTTTAACTTCAACTTTGGCTAAATCTGTAATATTTAGTTTTGTTCACAAAAATATTTATACAAATGTATCGGTGGAGTATAACAAACAGGAGACTATACCGATTGTAAGTCGCTTTGGATGAAAACGTCAGCTAAATGTAATATTAATGTGTAGTGAGTTTGGTAGTAATAAACTGTACGTTATTGAAGATGATGCCATATTTATTGATGATTTTACATTATAAATATTCACCAAAATTATTCAAAACCATATTCTTCCAAACTCTCTGCTGTAGTATGAGCAACAGGAGACTATTGATGTGTGTAGTGAGTTTGGTAGAAATATACTGTATAATAGTAACATTATTGAAGATGATGCCATATTTATTGATGATTTTACATTATAAATATTCACCAAAATTATTCAAAACCATATTCTTCCAAACTCTCTGCTGTAGTATGACCAACAGGACACTATTGATGTGTGTAGTGAGTTTGGTAGAAATATACTGTATAATAGTAACATTATTGAAGATGATGCCATATTTATTGATGATTTTACATTATAAATATTCACCAAAATTATTCAAAACCATTATTCTTCCAAACTCTCTGCTGTAGTATGACCACCAGGAGACTATTGATGTGTGTAGTGAGTTTGGTAGAAATATACTGTACAATAGTGAAGTGATTGAATATTATTGTATTCTCTTTTTTCGGAGTTGCACTTTGCAGACGGTCCCTGAGCACTCGTTTGTTCTCCGGCTGCAGATAGAGACCAATGTAATGTGCCCAGTTTGGAGGACAACATGTATTGGCTTTTTTTTTATCAAAATGTGATTGTAGTTCGTTTTCAACCTTACCACGGTACTTAGGAGACGTAATTTGTGTTTGAACAACGTCTTGTTCATGAGTTATTGATCCGTGAAATCCGAATCTGCCAATATCGTTCTAACTTTACTCAACTAAAGAGAACAGGGTGAGTGTTAAAACCAGGCTCTGCTGGGGTTTCCTAAACAATTCATGTTTACTCTGTTTTACTTTATCTCTGAAAAATACAGTCTCGATAAAAAAGCAACGTCTTGGAGTCCGATGTGGCATATTGAAATGTTGTAGGTCTAAACTTCCCCTTTCACGTCCGTGTGTCTGCGCCATCATGGTTACATAACTATACAGACTTATGTGTTTTTGTTCTGTGGTGTTAGTTGATTTAAAACAAAAAGTAATCGCGTAAATCACGATCATAAACTGTGATTAATCTTCATAAATCAGAAGTTTTAAATATTAGTAGGCCTGTTAACGTGTATTTTGGAGAGATATAAAACAAATACATCGTGTGTAGTAGTCTAATAAAGCAGTCCATGAAAAACTGCTGAGAGAAATAAGAGGGGTTTGAATCCGTGTATCTACCGTCCGTTTGTTTTTCTTTATTCAACACGTAAACTGAAGAGCGAGGACTTTTTGACTTTACAGGCGCATTTCCACTACACGGTCGGCCTCGACAAGCTTTGGGACAAACTCCCCTCTCTCCGGCAGAAACAGGAAATGCTGTAACTGTATGTAACAACGGTTTCAAATCAGCTTGTCTTTGACAAAACATTACAATTAATAACTCAAATAAAACTCCAAACATCTTTAATTGTGTTTGTACAGCTCTTTTAGTTTAAACCTGATTTTTATAAGCTTCTTAGTTTTTGCAACAATCTGTAAATATACACAACTTTATAATAAAATAAAAATGTACCTTTTTCTAGACTAAACACAGGTAAAGTCACAAGGGTTTGTCACTTTGCTATCAGGCCAGACTCTAAAGACTTTCCAAGGTGTAAAATGCTGCTGCCGGAGTACTGACTGGAAGTATTGCTGATATCATGTCCACAATATCCTCTTAAAATACTCTGCCCAATAATATCAGTCTCAGGAAGAAAGGTGTTTTAATGCTTATTAAAAATAGCAGAGAAACATGCAAGCTTGTACTCAGGAGGGGACATTGACAGAGGAGTACTCACAAAGTACACAGTAAAAGTACTTCATAGTACTTGTGGGAGTAGTTTCACTAGTACTGAGTCCAACAGGATCAATCTCACGAAGAACTAATGGCAAAAATCATTTTCCCCCTCATCAAACTTAGAAGAAGTGGCTTGATTTTGTTCTCAGGAGGGGACATTGACAGAGGACTTTTTTTTAAAACAACACACTAGAAGTACTTCATTGTATTGTGGTAGTAGGTGTAAGACTACTGAGTCCAGCAGTATCAATATCATTAAGAACTAATGGTAACATTGTGGTATCTCTCATCAAAGATAGCAGAAAGCATGCATTATGTACTATGGAGGGGACTCTGACAGAGGATTACTCACAAAGTACACAGTAAAAGTACTTCATTTTATTTCTGGTAGCAGTCAAACTAGTACCGAGTCCAACAGTATCAGTTTTATTAAGAACTTATGGTAACAAATATTTGTATCGATCATCAAATATAGCAGGACAAAAAATGAAGAGCAGCTGATTTGAAAAAACAAAGTGGAGAGACGGCTGAGTGACCGCAGAGCAGAATCGCTGCATAGTTTAAATCTCCTAACAATGTTGTCCATTTTAGACAGAGGCTTATTATATTTACAGCCCTTAATAACATTCATTTTCTGGGCTCAATATGTGTCTTGGCCGTTTTCGTTGTGATCGCTAAATTCACCTTGTTTATAATATTATCACCGTTCCAAGCAAACGAGTGCTTTTGTTTTGAAATCACTTCCGTGAGTTTCGCCCCGCCCCTCGCTCCAATGACCATTGTCGGTATCTGTCACTACCCGATCTGCCCCCCTGCCCGATCTGTACTGCGCATGTGCGAGATGGACTCTTTTTATTGGGTTCTTTTATTTGGGGTTAAGTACATTGTCAGAATAAGTGAGAAATGGATTTAACTTCTGTTAGACAGCTATATGCCATACATTTTTGCATACATTCACAGTAAATATTTATTCAGTATTCAGTATGATAGCTGTCATACCATAGAGAACCGCAGTGACGCGTCCTAAAACCCGGAAGTAAACTTCTTCCAGTTCCTTCGACAAAAGGGTTACCCTAGGGTTACCCCTAACCCTAACCCCTAAATGTCTGAATAATGTAGTAACTACTCGTCTAGTCTGTCAAAGGGAGAATCTAGTAATTTTTTCGCGCAATGTTAGTAACTATAGTGTGATTACTGAATGTATAACAGTAACGCGTTACATTACTCCGTTACCGACAAATGTAATATTATTACAGTACCCAACACCCAACTCTGCTCGTATGGGAGTATAGCTACTTGCTGCCACTATCATATTGTGAGCACTATCTGCTCCTAAAGTAGTGAGCTGTCCATCTCCTGGATTCAGCAGAATGCCACCCCTCCGTTTTCACCAGACCTAAAGAACGAGGGCACAACACTTGTCATGGATTAAATGTGCTTTTACACAGAGGTAGTTATAGCTCTGACTGATGTGTGGAGGTGGAAGAAGTACTCAGATCTTGCTCTTGAGTCAAAGTAGAAGTACTCAGATCTTGTACTTGAGTAAAAGTAGAAGTACTCAGATCTTGTACTTGGGTAAAAGTAGAAGTACACAGATCTTGAGTAAAAGTAGAAGTACTCAGATCTTGTACTTGAGTAAAAGTAGAAGTACTCAGATCTTGTACTTGGGTAAAAGTAGAAGTACACAGATCTTGAGTAAAAGTAGAAGTACTCAGACCTTGTACTTGAGTAAAAATAGAAGTACTCAGATCTTGAGTAAAAGTAGAAGTACTCAGATCTTGTACTTGAGTAAAAGTAGAAGTACTCAGACCTTGTACTTGAGTAAAAGTAGAAGTACTCAGATCTTGTACTTGGGTAAAAGTAGAAGTACACAGATCTTGAGTAAAAGTAGAAGTACTCAGACCTTGTACTTGAGTAAAAGTAGAAGTACTCAGATCTTGAGTAAAAGTAGAAGTACTCAGATCTTGTACTTGAGTAAAAGTAGAAGTACCAGAGTGTAGGAATACTCTGTTACAGTAAAAGTCCTGCATTCAAAATGTTCCTCAAGTAAAAGTAGAAAAGTATTATCATCAAAATATAGTGAAAGTAGCGACAGTAAAAGTAGTCATTGTGCAGATTGGTCCATTTCAGAATAATATATATGATATGTTTTATAATGATTGATCATGAAAGTGTTCTCAAAGCTGGTAAAGGTGCAGCTAGTTTGAATGACTTTGTATACTGCAGGGTAGCTTGTGGATTTACTCCAGGTGGAACTAAAGTCTGATTTAACACTTGATTATATTTCACATCATTCATCCATATCTGTAAAGTAACTAAAGGTATTAAATGCATGTAGTGGAGGAAAAGTACACCAGTTACCTCTGAACTGTAGTGGAGTAGAAGTACAGAGTAGTGGAACATTAAAATAAAGTACAGGTCCCTCAAAATTGTACTTAAGTACAGTACTTGATTAAATGTACATGTAGCTTGTTCCAGTTCCTCTCTTTCCTTGACTTCCACTGCCGTGCAATTCATGTTAAAATACCCGCTGGAGTTACGAAGGAAGTTTGGGTGAAACTTGGTAATATGATTAATTTTATGTAAATGTTTTGACACGTTAAGGTTTGCAGATTATTCTCAACCAATCCCCTTTTTTTTTACAGCACAAATTTAAACCAAAATGTATCATTATGATGGATTTGATTGAAATGCTTGCATTATAAAGTGTGTGTGTTTATGTATTTGTCTCCAGGGTTACTAGTTCATCTCTCAGGATGGAGACCATGAGAGATTTGGATGATGAGGAGGAGGACAAATCTTCAGTGTCCAGAAAACCTCCAGATTTGAGTAATACACTTGGAGCATCTGACACAAGGTAAGAGTCTGTTTCTGCTGTGAACTGACCTGAAGAGGAGTCTGGTTTGATCTGAGTAGCAGATCACAGTACAGAGACTCAGTAAAGCTTCACTGTGGAGTTCAGTCATGAAACAAAGTCAATGAGAGGAAAGAAACCCAGAAGAGGAAAGTAAAGAGGTAACTGAGCTCTGGCTGTGCTCATCAGCAACAGTTAATCATCTACTATTGTGAAATCATTCTCACACTCGACATGTAGGACTTTGTGTTTGGTTTAGTAAATGAACTTCGAACATGTAGAACTATTCCCTCTCACAAAGAATTGTAACAACAGAAACCCTCAAAACACCATTTTTAAAACATAAAGTTTAGAGTAAGAACAAAAATCTTTAAAGGGGAAAGAAAATCAAAACTGAAATCAAACGCTGCTTTTTACAAGAACTAGTGATGTGTGTTAAACATTCTGTTGTTTCCACAGACAGAGAGCAGAGTCTCCAGTCCCCAGCTGTCTGTCTCTGAAGAGTGACTGGTCTATGGAGAAACCTCCATTCTTCAGTAATGAACCTGGACCCCCAGACACAAGGTAAGAATCTGTTTCTGCTGTGAACTGACCTGAAGAGGAGTCTGGTTTGATCTGAGTAGCAGATCACAGTACAGAAACTCAGTAGAGCTCAGTATAGAAACTCAGTAGAGCTCAGTATAGAAACTCAGTAGAGCTCAGTACAGAAACTCAGTAGAGCTCAGTATAGAAACTCAGTAGAGCTCAGTATAGAAACTCAGTAGAGCTCAGTATAGAAACTCAGTAGAGCTCAGTATAGAAACTCAGTAGAGCTCAGTATAGAAACCAGTAGAGCTCAGTATAGAAACTCAGTAGAGCTCAGTATAGAAACTCAGTAGGGCTCAGTATAGAAACTCAGTAGAGCTCAGTATAGAAACTCAGACGTACTTGAATCAGATAAGGGAAATATCGGCACCTAGAGCTCTACAGTACTTCATATTGAATTGAAGTTATACATTGATGTGTATCAACCATTGATTGTTAGTTTGACTTTTAATGGAGCAGCCACAATGTTAGCTAAGTCTAACTCCACTCAATCTAATGTCCATTCAGGAACTAGCATTTTGAAAGTGATTTGCTTTCCATGTTGTGGACAGACCTGACAAAGTGTTCACTGCTTTTACAAATTGGAATCATTATGTAGTTATTACATAAACAAGTTTAATTTAGCCGTAGTAAAACTTGTGAGGTACAGTGAACATGCTGTAGGCGAGGATGTTACAGACAGAAGGGCGTTTTGTTTCATAATTATATGAATCACTAAATATCTACCACTTGGGAACAGTTACCAGGATGAAATATCATCTACAGATAAAGAACTTTAAAAAAACAAGAATTTGCCAACTTTGGGTTGTACCATTGGTGAAAATCAGTCACCGTAAAGTGCTATAAAGGATGTGTTGATCTCCACAGAGGGAAGAGGAAGAGTGGTGTTCCTGTGGAGGAGCAGCTGTCCAGCTGTGCTCTGTGTCAGGACGTCCTGAAGGATCCAGTCTCTACCAGCTGTGGACACTGGTTCTGCAGACAGTGCATCACCTCATACTGGGAGCAGAGACCTCCATCAGGAGACCCCTGCTGTCCCCAGTGTGGAGAGAGATCCTCAGTCTTCTGCTGGATCACTGCTGCAGTTCTGGACCACATGTGGACTACAGACCAGAGAGGAGAGCTGCCCAAGACCCTCACTGACATGTACTCACACTTCCTGCTGGTCCAGACCAAGAGGAAGAAGCAGAAGTATGAAGAGGGACATGAGACGAGTCCACAGCAGCTGACGGAGGCTGACAGGGAGCTTCTTCTGAAGCTGGGGAGGCTGGCGTTTGAACATCTGGAGAAAGGACACATCATGTTCTACCAAGAAGACCTGCAGCGCTGTGGTCTTGATGTCACAGAGGCCTTGGTGCACTCAGGAGTTTGTACAGAGATCTTCAAAAGCGAGAGAGTGATATTCAAGAAAACAGTCTACTGCTTTGTTCATCTGAGCATTCAGGAGTTTCTGGCTGCAGTCTACATGTTGCACTGTTACTCCAACAGAGACACAGAGGTACTGAAGGACTTCCTGCAGTGGGACTTGGACGATGACAAGAGTGATAGCAGTGATCAGGAGTACCCATCCCTGGATGTCTTCCTAAAGAGTGCCATGATGAAATCATTCAGAAGCAGAAATGGCCATCTGGACTTGTTTGTCCGCTTTCTCCACGGCCTCTCTCTGGAGTCCAACCAGAGACTCTTAGGAGGCCTGCTGGGTCGCACAGACAACAGACCAGAAACCATCCAGAGAGCCATCAGCAACCTGAAGAAGATGACAAGTGATGAAGTCTCTGATGAAAGGAGCATCAACATCTTCCACTGTCTGACAGAGATGAAGGACCACTCAGTACATCAGGAGATCACAGAGTTCCTGAAGTCAGAGAACAGATCAGAGAAGAGACTCTCTGTGATCCACTACTCTGCTCTGGCCTACACGCTGGAGATGTCAGAGGAGGTTCTGGATGAGTTGGACCTGGAGAAGTCCAAAACATCAGAGGAGAGACGACGGAGACTGATTCCAGCTGTGAGGAACTGCAGGAAGGCTGTGTGAGTCCAGATGTGATTAGCTTTAGAGATTAGTGTAGATAAGGATTTTAGTTTTTAAAATAAACACTGTACAACTTGTTGCTGTTTCACATACTGTGTGAGCTAAATTGAATTAATACAATTATTCTAATAATTTAAAAATGTTACAGTCTTTTCTTCTCTTAATTTTCCTTGTCAAAATAATATGAAGGATGTTTTATCACAGCAACATGTGATCAGAACATACAGAATAACTTTACATATGTCATTGAATGCAGTAAAGTTATTATGAAACGATTGCAGTTTCTTTATCGTTAAATTAGACACAGAGCAATATCTAATTTATGTTGACTCTAGTCTTCTCTAGTCTAGAAGGTAGCTAGCAGAGAGGTGACAGACATGGGATCAGATCACACTCTACCAAATATTAAATAGACTAACATCCAGTGGTAATCAGATCATGAGATTCAAAATGTTTTTCCTCAAATGCATGAAGTAAATATGTTGTTTCCTCTTTTTTTATATAAACAAATTCTGTAATATGTGTTCGAACAGAATTCCTGACAGTGGATTCTTAGACTGGGAAGTCGTGGCCTCAGCTCTGAAGTCCGACCCCTCCGATCTGAGAGAGCTGGAGGTGAAAGTAGCCCTGCAGGATTCAGAGGTGGAGCAGCTGAGTTCTGGACTAAAGAGTCCAAACTGTAGACTGAAGACTCTGAGGTCAGATCACTGGCTGTAGTTCATGTGGTTTTGTACTGTATTTATAATTGATATATTTATAATTCCATCATTTGCCTGAGTACAAAGACATTTTAATAAGTTCACATTTCTTTCTAAATTGCTGAATATTTGACAAGAATAACAGAAAGCAGAGAAAGTAAATGTGTGAGGGGACAGTGTGTGAGCTTCCACAGACTCTCACTGTGCTCCATGAGTCAGTGAAGATGCTGTCAGTACTGATGAGCTGTGAGGGAGATGAAGGAGGTTCTTCTGATACATTATCAATGCATTTATAGTTATCCACTATTACATTTCTAAAAGTATCTTCATCATTTTTGACATTGGCATCTGAACCCTCTCCAGGTCTGAAAAGACGATGAGACTTTTGAACTATCTCAAGCAGGACCAGTGGCGTCGCCTGGCCTGGGCATCCGGGGCTTTAGCCCCGAATGTTTTTTCTGTAGCCCCGGACAATTCTCCCTCAATAATATAATACATTAACCGTGCTTTACGTGAACCTCATCATGACACAAGAGAGGACGGCAGCACTGTAATTTCCCGTGTTCAGTGAATGCAACAGAGGCATGACACCAGACCAATCAGAGAGTTGCATGGAAATAAACATGTGCTTGTGTCATTCAAGCTTGGCTCTGTGTGTGTGTGGCAATAGCGCATTAGTGTGATAGAGAGAGAGAGAGGAGAGAGGGGGAGGGAGGGGCCGGTGTCAGCATGGACCGTGTTGTTAGCATCTGGTTAGCTAGCTGCACTAACGGACATAAGGAGCTGTTTGTTCCACAAGAAGCTGGAGGAGAGTCCTCTCCTCTCAGACTGAGAGACTCAGGTGAGCTAAAGGACTCTCTGAGGGTTTAGATAGTTAACTTTAGTCTAAGTTATCTCAGTGGGTCTCAAACGGTTTGGTCACAAATTATTCAAAAGATTATTTCCGCGGCACACCTTCATATGATCATTATAGTTATTAAAAAAAAGAGAATAGAGGAAAAACAGTTATGAAATACTATATGGCAGTAAAACAAGAATAGAGTTTAAAAGGGGAGTGATTAGTAAAATATCCATAAAGAAAAAGTACATCTGTTTACAGTTCTGCTTCATATGGGTGTTGAGAGAGGTATCCATAGATCTCTTCATTTTGCTCTCAAAGTGCACCAGATTGATGCATTTAACTTCAATATTTAAAAAAAAATCTTCCCGGGGGAGCATCCCCCCGGACCCCCCTAGAGGACCCCCCACTAAAAAATACCACTTTACCCCTGCCTATATGCCGTGAGCTGATTATCAAGCCTTCATTGTAACAGTCGCGGGTGTACTGTGTGTGTGCGTGTGGGGAGTGTTGCAGTAAAAAATGCCACTGTTGTGCCGCCGCCACTGTGGGCTAAGCCCCGAATGTTTTCAGGTCCAGGCGACGCCCCTGGTTATCACCACAATAAACCTTATTTAACTGTGTCTTAATGTACATTATTCAATTTCATATTGTGTTCTTGTATATATCATATTCTATTTACATTTATATAGACTTCTTGCACTGTTGCATTGTTGGAGGAACTCAGAGGCCTGTACTACGAAGCTGGTTCTTTTCACTTTTTGGATCTTACTGTTTTTAACCTGTCGGGAGAGTCCACTTTATAAACGTCTACATTCTCTACTTCTCCAGCTATAATCAGATTATTAAACCTTTCATTATTTCAATCAGGAACATTGTTTTCTAAACTTACATCATGTGTTCTGGAGCTCTGCAGCTTGTCAGAGATCAGCTGGTCTGCTCTGATCTCAGCTCTGAAGTTCAACATCCATCTGAGACATCTGGACCTGAGTGAGAACGCTCTGAAGGATTCAGGAGTGGAGCTGCTGAGAGATCTTCTGGAGAGTCCAGACTGCAGACTGGAGGCTCTCAGGTCAGTTCTCCATCTCTATCTTCTGTGCTGAGATGAATATGTGAGAGTTGTGTTGACTCTGAGCTGCAGACATCAGGCTGATATGATCCTGATCCTCACTGAGCATCTTAATGCTAAAGTCTACTTTCTTCTTCTGTGGTTTAGCTCATTGACTGTAGCAGAGCTATGTTAAAGAAAAATCATACTCTGCATAATTCACTGTGAACCTTTAAAAACCTGGAATTCATCTTTTATTCTCCGTCATGTTTTTAAATAAATGACATTATAAACACAATAA